TATTATAAAATTATTTAATACTATTATTATAAAATTAATAGTAATATATACAATAATTAATAATATTATATATCCTATTTTTTAAAATAATCTTTATATGTGCGATAAAAAATCGTTTCTTTTTCCGAAAATTTATTTTATCATCATTAGTCTTTCTCAGATCCAAAAACTTTTATCAGAATCATTTTTGCTCAATTCAGCGTGCACGCGCGCGCGCGTGTATGTGTGTGTGTGTGTGTGTGTGTGTGTGTGTGTGTGTGTTGTGTGTGTGCGCGCGTGCGCGCATATGTGTGCGCATGTGCATGCAAGTGAGCGATGAATGAGTGAGCGAGTAAAAGAGTTAGTGAGCGAGTATTCACGCTTGTGTGTATGTAATTGGACAAATAAAACATATTCCGCATCTAAACTGTTAATTATTATTACTTACATTTTCAGGAATACTAGGTAATTGAAACTGTTTTGGGCTTTGACAAATAAAATTCTGAAAGAAATTTTAAAAAGTATTAAAACAATGTATTCAGCAGATAACATTAAATTTCTTATTAAACACACTTAACAGTTTAGTAAATTATGACATGATAGAGTTTAATAATTACTTACCGCTGTAGAATTTGGTAAAGGAATAGATATGGAGTTTCCAGGTATTGGAACCCCACAAGTATATATAATTTCAAGAAATTTCCAGGGATCTTCTCCACTAGCACTACTGGTTAAGGATGCAATATGATTCAAAAGTCTACAATGAAAAATTTAATATTTTGATCTATTTTGAACACACGTGAGCATTTAAATAATATATTTTGACTAACTTGTAAAATGTTTCGTGCCATGGAAGGGCGCTTAAGACTACTAAAGCTGTTTCTGTTTTGGGATCATGACGGCAGAATCCAAAAGTCCATTTTGAATCTATGCTAGTGAGCACAAATGAAAAATGTTGTACTAATAAACTAAAACAGAAAATTATAACAAAGAAATATAATAGAACAAAGACAAAAGATTATAGTTTATATTGTATGATAATCAATGTTAACATACTTTTCAAATTCACAAGGATATGCAAATTTAGGAACAGATTTCAGTATTTCTTCATCTGAAAAGGAATTGGGATATTTTTGGAGAATCCAAGCTGGCTTCTCCCTTATTGGCGCAGCTACTTCACAGAAACATTCAAAAAGTTGTTTGACATTTTCTCTGAAAATTTCATTAAAAAAACATCAATGTTTATATGATTTAAATGAAATATAGTTTGCAAGTTATGAAAGTATTGTAAAATTTTAAAAGTAATTATGTTTAAAATTTTATAAATAATAATCATACATAATTGTATTACAATATTCATAAAATATATTTTTAATATTTTTTGTATTGAATTCTATTTTTTCTTATATTTTATCTTTTCAAACATACAGCAAATTTTACAAGAATATAAAGATATAAAATAGATTTTGTTGAACAAGCAGAATCTTTTTTATTGCAAAACCATCTGATTGCAATATAAAAATAATTGCTCTAGAAATCCATTATGTACCTTGAAATGAGATAAAAGTTACAAAAATGAGTGAATTTACAATATTTATAATTTCATTGAGAACTCCCATCTTAATGTTTCCTAGGAATCATATTATCCTTATTTAATATTTGGGAAACAACAAAAATAAAATAATACCTGATGGCACTCAGATGAGAATGAATACAGCCATTAGTTCATCTAAATTTACTTACTTTTGAAATTTTTATCTCATTTCAAGATATGTAATTATGTTCTTGATCACATCTCACTCAAAAGAATTCATTAGTGAGGATCTACAATGAATCAATAGTAGGTAGTTAGGAGTTGAGACCAACTACTGATTCACCAATTTAGACCACAATCCTAATTCATCAATTGAGTCCTTCAGACTCGTTTTTGACTCATCAACTACAGATTAAAGATTCATTATAGACTCGGCTTTACATCAGAATCTATGATTCTATATACGAAGGAAAAATATATTATATTTAGATGCAGCCTGATTTATGCCAAAGTTATAACATCCAATGTTTATTACTGATATTAAGGTCCTGCGCACAATGGAGGAAATATTAGGAATAGAAATAAATATTAAGATTTCAACCTACCAGAAACCACATATTCTGATGTAACTGATTCGACAGGTTGAAATCTTAATATTTATTTCTGTTCCTAATATTTGTTTTATTGAGCGCAGATCCTAAATGCTGTGTAAATTCTATTTTACAATGAAGTTATTACATTGATCTAGTTACTCAAAGCTATTTGCTGATGCTATAATAAGTCGGTAATTGATAGTCTTAAATCCTAGTCCAAATTTACAATGAATCAATGACTATGTTCAACAAAACACAATAGTTTTACATCTTTATTGTTTGCCAATGTTAAACAAAGATGATATAATCACTGTCTCTTGTTAGAAGGCATACACAGAGCCGGTTGTTCCATCTTTTGGTAAATTTTACCTGTTGGGTAAGCAAAATTACTCAATCACATGTGTGGATTACCAGATTTATCTCAGATAAAATTTATCAAAAGGTGGAACAACCGGCCCATAGTCACCTATTTAAGTTAAGACTGATTAAAAATTAAGATTTCCGACTACCGACTCATTGTAGAATTAGTTTTAAGTTACTATAGCGACGTAAAAAGAACGTGTAAACGGCCACGATGTTATAATATTTACATAAATCAGGCCGCGTAAATGTAATCTAAAAATTCACTTTGCTCGTTGAATCATTTACATGCTTTCGTTCAGCTTGGTGGAAACACGATAAACCTAAGAGTATAAACGTGACTCACTTAAATAGGATTATAACAACATTACTATGAATCTAAGCACAAAGATGATCGTAACTGAGTCGTGAAATGTCATAGTTCATTGATCAAAACATTGTTCACTTACGACTTACGACTACGATTCACATTTCATAATTCAGTTAAATCGAAGTTAAGAAACCGTGTAAATGTAATAATAAACTTGCCTTAATCTAGATCCCATGATAATAACTTGAAAAAAAAAGGTAATTATTCAATTTAGCAAATACAATCACAAAAATTAATAAAAAACATACAAATCGACGCGTTTTTCATGAAACAAACAAATCTGGCTAAAAAAAGTGTCGCTCTGCCCCGCGAAACAGGAATTAACAGTAGAAGTTTGCCACTATTGAGGTTACGAAACCAGTCATATCGACATAATACAATCCTTCCACTATGAAACTGCGCAACATTGGGGTCACATGTGTATATACACAGAATTGCCAACTTGTTGAGAGTAGAGATCACGAAGCAAAGGTGCCTTTTCATGCCGACGTTCAATGCTCATTTTCGGCATTAAACTAAGTCACGTGATAGAAATTGACCATAGAATATAGAGAATATAAAATCGAATTAGGCTTTGAAAAGTGTGGTCAAAATCGGGTTTCTGAATTGGTATTGGTGCTGCTCAGTAGGCGACGTTCGAATCGCAAAGTTCCTCTTATATACACTTACGCACCATAACCGAACACTTAACCTAAGAATAGAGACGTTAAGCCCAAGACACGATGCGAGGCAATAGCTGTAGCGATAGACATAGCGATAACAATAGGAATAGAGGAATCCAACACACGGGAATCCATATGTCAATGCACAGAATAGCGATAGCGACAGCGATAGTATAAATTTTCGACGAGTTGTTGGAATTCTGTGTCTATCGCCTTATAGCCTACCAATCAGCGTTCAGATTTTTCATTCTGTTTATGACTGCGGTTCATTTGGCGCTTCAAACGTTACAAAGCATTTATAACATCGATTAGCTGATCCATTTGACGCTCTGGAACGTTCCCAGTAGTTCTCATTACGTCATTCATACATCATCACTTTCACTCCCACTTCCGCTCCAGCTGTCTCATCTCGGGGTATGTTCAGATTCCTCACCGGGTGATCGTTGGGTGATTGGGTGAGTGGGAGGAGCCTAGCAAAAAGCACCTAAACGGTTGGGGAATCTGAATGCACTCTAAAAATTCGGTGACAAACTTTTAATTGATCTTGTACGAATCCATACAGCACAGAAGATTGAAGCAATATTGCTGCAATGTTGCAATATTGCAGATTGTAATGTAACATTGCAGAGATATTACAGAAATGTAAATTAACAATGCCTGAAGATGTCAGTAATATGCATGTAATATTCCAAAAACATTACAAAACTGTAATTCTTTAATTGTTACTATAATAATATAAAAATAATATAATTTTTTATAATTTTTTATGTAGTGTAGTCTTTTAGTTTAACAGTCGTTTTTATGATATAATAATTAATTATATAATCCATTTTCATATTTTAAATTAAAAAATTTATTAATCTATTATTTGACGGCCATTTGACGGCTATTAGCTAAATTTTATATTTATTTTGAATATGAAATCAAAAAATTGTATAATATCGAGTTTGGATACAATCAACGCATTATTATCGGATAAGACGATAAGCAATTAAGCTGCTGAACATGATTTATCAAAATATTAATTATGTGATCGATGATGTATTTATGCCTAATGTGTACGCAGGAGTAAACCAGCGCCCGAACTCTATTGATAAATTTCATATCATCATTTTTTAATCGATTTCAATTGGAGTGACTTCGAATTGAAAAGAATCACTGCAATTAACTTAATTCATGATTAACTTATCAAGCGACTATATTATTATGTTAATGTAGATAATATTTGTAGTTGATAATATTTGCTCGGGGTACACACATACATGCCTTATCCTTGGGAATAAAATTATCCTTCAGAATTAATACTACATTTATTGAAATGTTTTATTATAAAATGGTTTTATTATAAAAAATTGCTTTTGAAAAGCATATATCACTAGAAATACGATTTGTAGAAAAATTGAAGTTAGTGAGATATATGTACAGAAAATAGTTTTTATTGTAGAGTTTTCGTGAAAAATTTATTCAAATACATTACATTGCAATATTGCTGAAACGTTTCGTTGCAGTATTACAAAAAGCGGACATCTTAACATTGTTGGAATCTTGCAGCAATGATTCAGCAACGTTTCGCACCACCATGCAATATTGCAATATTTCAATGAAATTATTCTGCAATGTTTCTGCGATGTTTCTGCAATCTTTCTGTGCTGTATGGGAAATCGCTCTTACCTATATGATAAAAGTATGAAAGATTATAGAAATGCAAAACTAAAAGAAAATGCATGGAAAGAGATGGCTAAACTTTTAAATGTTACAAGTAATTTTGAACTAAAAATTAATATACTTATAAATTTGAAACAAAAAAGACTACATAAGCAATGCAAGGTATTCATTGCTAGAAATCTTTTCAAATAAAAAATATAACGATTCAAATGTTTATTATTAAATTAACTAAAAATATTAAACATTATATACCTAAGTAGAAAAACAATAATGAACAAATGTTTCGATCCCTATCGGGTCATTTGCAATGTTGTTACAATAATTTTTTAAATTAACTATAATATTAAAGCTAACCATACATAGAAATATTGCAGCAACATTGCAAAAATATTGCAAAATATTGCTGCAATATTTCAGTAACATTGCAGCAATGTAAAAATGTCCGTTTTAAAAATATTAACACGTAATGTTGCAGCAATATTATAACATAATATATATGCAATATTAGGTTTTGCGCACAATGGAGGAATATTTGCAGAATTATTGTAATAATGCAGCAACATTGCTGTAATATTATAACGTTACTGCAATATTTATTATAAGATTTTGTACTATATAAATATAAAAAATTAGAAATAGGAGTTAAATGTAACATGCAATGAATAAAATATGACTTCATTATTAATTATGTCTTTATATTTTATAGATGTGTTCCGATATATACTGCCAGTATTGAAAATCTACAGCATACGTAACGTAAACTATAAATTTTCAGTACTGGCTATGCATATCGAAACACGGCCTATACGTCTTAAGTAGATATACTAAACTAGGCGGGTTCTAACCCAGGGGCTAGAGGGGAATGCGGGGTGCGGGGAAGTACTTGAAGGCGCGAGGGATACCTAACACGGGGGAAAGAGGGGGAAAGGTCTAGGCTCCTACACAATAGGGCTCTTTTTTTTGTTATCAAAATTAGACCATGTTTTTCTTTAAAAATGCATTGATAATAAAGGTTTGAATTTGACCATGACATATTTATCTTTTCTTTAAAAATGTATCGATAATAAAGGCTTGCATGTTAGAGAAAGATAGAGCGCGCGTGTTATGAGTGAAGAAAGGATGGAAGAATTAATAGTGTACAAGTTTCTTTTGTATGATACAGTTTTTTCAATTTTTATGGTTTTTCCTGGCGCGTCGAGGCAAAGGATGGGAAGTAAAAGACAATACACATGAAATAAGGCTAACAAAAAATCTTTTATTTATATCTTATTACACCGGTTTTCATACTTATAAAAAACTAAAGCTAATAATTCACAATCAATGAGCTGCTGTCCATTGAAGATGTCGCTATCACATATAATGTTCTCAGATGCGATGTTGGAGAATCGCGTATACTTGGTATCTTCCGTATCGATGAGTCGAGCTAATCGTTCGAACGTTACATCGATACACCCGTTAAAGTCAAACATACGGCGTAGCGTCGTTTCGGTCATCATAATGCGTACGGATGAAGAATCGAGACGTACGACCGTAGCATAGTTCAACATGAAAACACTGACGGTTAGCGGTCCAACGCTTATAAAATTATCCTTGTATTCGTTTCGAAACAGCTTGTAAATATTTCCTCGCTGCTCGTAGAGGCTCTTCC